CAAACAATAAAAGTGTACTTGTTTCGTTCAGTTATTCCGACAGCAAAGTCCCTCATCATCCATGCTTTCGACTTGTGGCAAACAGCGAGCAAAACTTATTCACGAATATCTCCAGACGCCTTCTTACCATGGAAAAGACGCACGAGTACAATGTGAGTAAATTTTGCCTATCTCTTTTTTTACTGTTTAAAATTTATAAAATTTTTGATATATAACTCGCGCTCTGATTGGCTGGCGACCGTATTTCTAAGCTTGCTTCTCTCGTGTTTTTCAACTCCAACCGTGTTTATATCAGAGGACAAAGACGCGCGCGTCGTTTTATATTTTTTAAGTAAAGACTTTTAGATGTTTTTCTTTTTTGATTTGAACATCAAAAATATTGCATAACACAAGAAGAGATGTCTTACTTCCCGTGATCCTTTGGGCACCCCAGTCTGGCATAACACTGAGCAGTTCCTACAAATTCCTATAATTTGCTTTCAAAATTAAATTTTATGTTGTAAGAGAAGATAAAGTAACAMTTTTTCTTCGTGTTTCAACAGAAGTCTGTGACTATGGACTCTCTCCGTGACAAGAACAGAGAATTTGAAATAATGTGTGATAAGTTTAGAGAAAATTATTTTACGCCGTCGAACTCCAGCTGATAGCTAAAACTGCGAATAAAACCTAAATCAACATTCAAAAATCGTATTGCGTCATCAAAAGTAAGATCGAAAGGGAGCTTGGGAAATGATAATTAGCAAACGATTAAGTATGATTAGTGTAAGATTATTTTCACATAACAGTGTTATAGTCTCTAGGAAACTTTTACAGTGAATATCTAATTTGCTATGAGTAATACTATACATGAGTTTTAGAGTACCCAGAATCCTGTTCTATCTTAGCTTTGGTCATGTGACCTTGTTGCGGTCCGACGTCTTTTTGCCATTAGATGTATCCACGAACATTCTCTCTTTTAATTTAATAAAAATTGCGTTAATTTAGTCGTTCAAGCTCAATTTGTGACATAAGGAACATTTGCGGACAGTATACTATGTGACTGACTTGCGTCAAGGCACATTTAAAAATTGTTGATTATTGTTTCGCCGGTAAATGTGCGCTCGCGAAGAACATGACTAACTTTCTATATCATTAAGTAATAAAGGATGGATTGCAGTGCGTTTCTTGGTGAAATGAACCACTTGGTAATGTTAGGAAAAAAATGAAAGGCGACAAATCACTCGCTACGCTCGTAATTATTTGGTCCTTTTTCTGTTTCCCAAAATCCCCGCGTGCTTTGTTTCGGCCGCAGTCAATCTAAAATGAAAAGGTAATTGGCTGATGCCAAGGATGTTTAGTATGTCAAACTAAAGAAAAAATACCACAGTTGAATAAAATAACAACAACAGTAACGACGGAAAACCCTTGTATAAATAGTACAGGACTAGTGCACATTTCTAAACTATGGAAAGATTTTTGTTACTTTGAATTTATATTTTACACGATTAACATAGAACTCAACAATGGAATCGAAATACTCTCCAGAAAATCACTGAGTTTGTGACAGGTCACATGACTCAGAGACGTCGGGTCCAGGTTGGCGTCCATTTTGAGGCTTTTGAGTGCCTTTTTTTAATATTGAATGTCGACACTTTCTTATTTACAATGACTGACTTTTCATAAAATTCTATAGCTGCCACTTCCAACAAAAGAAAAAAAAGAGAATGGTTCTTTCCACAAACAACGCTGTGCAATCACCGCGCTATCCACTATGGGATATATAGACGAAGGTACTACACATATTGCTGTCAAGACTGTTTTTGAGGGTGTGGAAAGCATATATCTTCTAGTGCACGCAGCTGCTGTTATGTTTCCTCTCAAATGCATCGATAATGATTAATGGTTGATAATGGTTAATTTACAAAGCTTCCGTCCTCCATTATTTATAAATAACATCCCAAAACATCCGCTATCTTGATATTTGAGGAGAAATAGCCAGTTTAAACTTTCATATTCATGAAAGATAGAGAGGATATTACATGGACGCGCGGAGATACGGATTTTTTTTTTAGTCGTGTGTTGAAAAGATCTCTCACGAGTGAGAGATTTTCAACATAAGAAGATAAAATTCGTATCTCCAAGCGACCATGTAATATTCAGTTTATCATATGAAAGCAAATTATGCCGTATTTAAAATACCTTATTTCTTACTTCCACTATATTAAGAAATCTCGAATGTGTTATTTTCACATGTGACGGAAATAGTAAAAAATCACAATTAATGTTTTGTATTGTTCTTGTTTGTTTGTTTACTTTTGCTCGGCTTTACGTTGCTTTACGTTGCTTTACGTTGGTTTACGTTGCTTTACGTTGCTTTACGTTGCTTTGCTTTGTTGCTGTTGTTATTGTGCGCTGTTGTTCGCTTTTTTTTCACTTCGCTCACAATGAAACCCGATAAAGTACAAACAATCCTGGCGTGATCGTCGCCACGACTTTACAAAAAAACACATATTTTTTGTGCGATATAGAAAATTTCTTAATAGTGCATTGAAATAAACTTTTCATGCTATCTGAGGAATGGATAGAAATACAGTTCGACTTATTCTCCTCCTGAAGCCTTTATGAGGCACGTTCCGTGGTCTCGTGATAGGTTGAGAAAACAATGGACAAACAAGTCTTCCAACAATAAAACAAAACCTAACCTAACAATGGAGCTACTGTACTTAAGCAGCAATCAAAAAGCAGGTAGTTCACCCAGGATTAGCGCTAATCGGGCTTTGAACAACACGYCCAGTACTGTATTCTCATTCTCCAGTCTCTCCCCCTAGGTCTCAAGTAAGCCTATATATTCTAACCATACATCAAATGGACTGCCTTATTACATAATGACGTCACAACATGTTTATCGTGATCAGAAACACTGGAAATTTACACATATTTTGAATATACAATATTATTCCCTTGATTTGATATAGTTGAGATTTCAGTACCATGTAGAAAAAGATTGTTGATTGCATCAATA